TTGCAGAGTCGGGGGTGGTCTTGGAGGGCCCTGTGGGTCCTAGTGAGAACGTTGCATGTTCTTTTGAGTGAGATGGAAAGGAAGCTATTGAAAGGTCTTGAATGTGGTTATGCCTGACAGATGGAGATGGCCTCTTATTGTAATGAAGTAAGGGGGTTAGGCATAGTGTGCAAAGCAGGCACTTAAACTGGCCCTAAAGAGCTGAGCCCTGCAGGATGGGAATATGGATGAGTAGGAGGGCAGAGGGGCAGCCATGGGCATCTGGAGCTTGTGGGGAGTTGAATGATCAGTGCCACTGAAGTGTGGTGCAAGAGCAAGATTTATCAATTGAGGCTGGCTCCTCAGGGCCAGATTGGGGAGGGACTTGTTTATTCATGGAAGAAGCTTTGGCTTCTCCCTGGAGTGGTGGGTTTTTAAGGAGAGAGCAGGGCTGTGGCCACATTTTTGAGGTGATTTTGGCTGCAGTTTGGAGAACAGATTAGCAGGGGTCTAAGCATGAGTAGGGTGATATGTTAAGAGTCTCTTGGCAATAATCTGGGTGAGAGATGGTGACCTGATTTAAAGTAGTACCAAAGGGTGGAGAGAAGTAGTTGATGAATTTGACAGTTGAGCCTATAACATGCCCAGATCTTGGTGACTGGTTTGAATGTGCTCGGAGGAGGATGGAGAAGGCCAGTGAGATGCCCAGACTGGTGGCTCTCTGACTGGTGGGGAATGGCAGGCAAGAAGCAAGGATGATGAGCAGGTTGGGGGGAGGAGGCGGTGGCCATCAATGTTGGGCCAGCTGGCTTTGAGGTTCCTGAGACACCCCAGTAGGGATGTCTAGGAAGCAGTTAGCTGGACAGGTCTGTATTCAAGCGTGACAGCTGATAGACACTTGGGTGTCATTGAGAAACCGATCCTGCCTGGTGTGGACTGGACTGGATGAGCTTGCCCAAGGAGATGAGCCTGCCAATTAATTCCTTAAGAGGGTGGAGAGGGTGGCTGTAGAGAGGAAGAGCATATCAGGGGAGGGCTTGAGGAGGGGGGCCTGTAGCCCCTAGCTGGAGCTCCTGCTCACTTGTGTGTGTGTCCCTGATGTGCGTATGGTCACTTTTGTTCATTTCTGCTGTCTGGTACTGGAAGGCGGCTTGGCTTAAGGTAGGGGTTGAGTAAACATTTGTGGGAAGAATGAATGGAGAGACCCTGGCCTCTGGGATCTGCTGACCTGTTTTTTTTTGTTTGTTTATTTTAAAAGTTATTGAATCCTGCTTTGTTCTTAAATTCTTTATTACAGATCTTACAAACTTAAAAGTAGAGACTATGATAGTGATACATTATTTATATCATATTATAGAGTATGTAGTAATATAGGGCACACATCACCCAGCTTCAAGTTATCAGTATTTTGTCATTCTTAATTTCTGTGTTCAGTTTACTTTCTTCACCCTCCTTTTGTTTGCTGGAATATTTTAAAAGCATATCTCAGATATATTTCACCTGAGATCTTAAGTAAATTTCTCTAATTTCTTAACTGACATGACATTGGGCCAGATAACGCTTTGCTGTGTGGGTCTGTGCTGTGCTTTGTAGGATGTTTAGTTGCATCCCCAGCCTGTACCCACTAGATGGCAGTAACACTACTGCCCCCTTTGTAACAACCAAAAACATCTCTGGACATTATTCAGTGTCCCGTGGGGACGTTAGCCCCTAGTTAGAACCACTGCTTTAACCAGGTAATCCTTTTTAATTTTAGCAAATCACAATACCATTATTACATTAACAAAATTAACATTAATTCCTTAGTATCTACCTAATCCATGTTCAAATTGCCCTGTCTCAAAAATGTCTTTTTTACAGTAAGTTTGTTTCAGTAAGGATACAAAGTCCCCACCTTGAATTTGGTTACAGACTTTCTTCTATTTATCAGTTGTATCTCACATCCCCCTCCTGTTTTTGCAAGCCATTTTATCTGTTGAAGAAATAGTTGCTGTATAGAATTTCCCATGTTGAAGTAGGCTCATTGTATCCTCCACTCCCTCCATTTCCTGTAAACTGGTGGTTCAAGCAAGATTATAATCTTAAAGAGATCAAGGTTCAAGATTTTTTCTTTTTATTCAACCTGGGTTTGAATCCTAATTTCTGAGCTTTCCTTATTTCATCCATTGTCTGGGGAGAACAGTCCTTGGGGTGGCTTAGGGAGCATCCACCATGGTGGCTGGTGTATAGTAGACATTCAAGACAAGTAATCCCTCTCTTCCAGGGAACTTGCTTCTGTCCCCCACCAACACCTGCTTTGTGTGGCTCAGTTGACTCAGGCATGCTTCTGTTCCTTCTCTATGCCAGTGATGTCTCTGCTCTGTGATCTCTTGTTCTTTGATCCTGGAGGATGTTTGGGTGAACACCCTCAAACCTGCACTAAGGGTCTCTTTCTGAAGCCTGTGGCGAGGCTCTCTTTCCCTCCGTCTCAGTTCCTTGAGTTCTGAGGCTTGGATACATGCTGTGTGGTTGCTGGGAGTGAGCCTTGTTCACATACCTGCCTTTTGTTCCCCACAGATCTTTGTGGAGTTCACTTCTGTGTTTGACTGCCAGAAAGCCATGCAGGGCCTGACAGGCCGCAAGTTCGCCAACAGAGTGGTTGTCACAAAATACTGTGACCCCGACTCTTACCACCGCCGGGACTTCTGGTAGAGGCGGGGGGGGGGGGGGGGGGGGGGGGGGGGGGGGGGGGGG